GGAAACTTTGGGTGGTGGGGGAGGAGGACTCTTTAAGATCTTAGGAGGAGGAGGGGGAGGACTCTTTACGATCTTGGGGGGAGGAGGAGGAGGGCTCTTAAGTTGAGGAGGATTAAAGGCTCTACAATTTCTTCTGATTTCTCCTGATTTCCCTGTTAGAACTTGAGTGTTACCTAACTTGATCAATGCATTTGCAAAAGCTTGTTGGAAGGCTCTTGGATTAGCAGCAAAATTCGCCACAGCCCCAGCGGTTGATTTGTCAGAAGCAAGTAACTGATCAACCTTCAATATCCCTTTCTTCAACCTTAGCTGTTTGTAAAAGGAATTATCGACAACAAATGAAGTGTTTTGGTCCAAGAAAACAGATGGGTCACCACTAGAAGAACATGTCTTTCTAAGGCGGTTAAACAAGTTAGTATCCATGCTCCCATCTGCCCTTGATAGCCTATCGCCTTTAAACAAACTACAATGTGTAATTCCCACGGTGTGGCCACCTAAAAGAGTCACCATGTCATTCATAGTAAACCCTTTGTTTTTGAAAAATTGAAATGCTTGTGGCACGGTTAAACTAGGGCCCGGCAAGTTCACTTGTGATGGGTCTGACACTAGCCCATCGCGCCTACCGGTGGGAATGCTGTAGCTCGGTCCTCCGGCTAATGCAACTGCATCTCGGGTGGCTAATGCAATGATGTCTGCACAAGAGACTGTCATAGCACATGTAGCCTCTAATTTACTCTTTATCTGATCAATCAGCTCGTATCCTCGTACTGACCCATTTGCTCCTGCATTTTTTTCTGACTTTTTGTTCTTTGTGTTTTTGGAGTCTATCAATATTGAAGCATCGCAACCCTGAAAAGCATATTTCCATTAATGAGAAAGGTGAATTACTGTCTTGTCCCAAAGCTATGCATGTGATGTACTAGTTTAACTTTGAAAATACTCAACTTAACTGAGTCAATTTGACACATTTTAAAATGTTAGGCAAACTTAACACGTTTGATTCTTGATAAACGAAATGTGTCAACTAAAATGAACGGAAAGAGTATAATTTGTTAAATTATAATGGCAACAAGAATAAGAATTTCTTACCCTGACGAAGCAGTCATGAAAATACATCCGCAACAATGCCGCCGTGATGGAACGATCCGCAAAGAAGCGGCTTCGCACCGTATCTCGAACTATGCTTTCTGCTCGTGGACATCTAGCTTTAGTATTATAAAAACCAACTTGAAGTTGAGCTGAGACAAATGATAGCTGAAGACTAATGCACAAGAAAGACAGTAATATTATCTTCTTGTCCATCTTTTTTAGAAAGATCCCTTGATATCAGATTTAAGCTTAATTTGACACAGGATTTTAAAGGTATATATATGGAGGGGAAAGGGGAATAATGTGGTGGGGCACTTAGAGTTTTGAAAGTCAAAGCATAACTGGGATGCATGTCATGTTTTTAAAATAATAATACCAGAATTTTCTGAGGAAATACATTGTTTAATCAGCTTCCACAACTTCAAGAAAAATAAAATACATGTACGTTCAATCTATCTATTTCATGTAGTTCTAAACATATGAAATAGAGTGTTCTACAATTTAAACCAATGTTGCCTTGGACAGAAATAAATGTTGCTCTGGACCATAATAAGAAAAAAAAGTAGAAAAAGCATGACAGAATCAACAAATAAGATGATAAATATTCTACAAAACGGAATGAATAAGAACTACAATTCAACATGAACATTTTTTTTACTATACGTAAATTTTAAAATTGTGTATCACTTTGTGAACATTATTTGTATCTTTTCATAAAAGAAAATAATTGCAAATTACATATATAAGATTGATGTCAGATTCAGCTTGGATACAACATTGATAAGAGAAATCTACATAAACAGAATAAGTTACTGATATGTGTTAGTCTACAATCAAGATCATAGCAGAGGTAATTTTTGTATAGGTTAAAATCTGCCCTAAGAGAATTTAGCATAAAGCGGCATTAAGAAAAAAGATGCGGTCGAGGTCGACCAGGAAATAGTGGGATTCATGGCCGGGCAGTCAACAATGGTCGAGGTTGAGCACCAAAGACAGAACACTAATAGCTAGTTTTTTGTAATAAGATATTAAAGAGAATATTCAATCTGCACTTGTACTATTAGGGTTGATTAGAAATATGTCTCATATAAATAGAAAGAGAAACAATAGTGTAGGATATGTAATATTCATTTGATAAGAGCACTTTTTGAGGAGAAGATTCTCTCTCTAGCAAAAATACAAACTCTACATTTTCAGCAAGATTCTTGCTCACATTATTCCTTACTTTTCCATCAGATCCGAGAATAGTTCAAATATTCTAGGATTTGTCTGTCTTTCATCATTGTCAGAAGGAAGTACCATCCACCTAATTCATTTTTGGGTGAATCATTCTCCTTATTTACATAAATACCATTTATTGTTATTTATTGCTTGATATTCCTCCATCATTGCTCAAGACCTTTGGAATATTACATGTGCACTATTTCCAGTTCCTCATTAATGTCATCTCACATTATTTATGTTGTCAAGTTCTAAATCTAGAGACATCATCACTGACTAGGTTTAACCCTTTGTTACATAAAAACTTAATAGTTTAATCGAAAGTATATTATTTTTTGGTCAAGCAATTTTCTAATCATACCTTTGTATTCTGACTTTTATTATCATATATTATTTTTATTATTATAATCGCAGTTCTTTTCCGGACCATTCATTGCATTGAATGGTCCATCCGAAACAAAGAAATGCCGCAACACAATTTCCTAAGCTACTGTTTTTGCTTAGTGCCTGCGCACAAATGAGAATCGTTTACTGCATACAAGATTATTTTAACCACAAGTGGGAGAGGAGAAAATTCGTGGTTATGCAAAGACATGTCAATGACAATGTGAGTATAGTAGTTGGTACTTGGGAAGCACATATATAGAGGACCTTGTTTGAAATTTCAAAGGAGCAAGAAGAAGTTAGGATTCAAAATTATAATCATTTTAAGTTAATTGAGTTTTAAATTAATAATTTGTACATATTCAATGAATTTTTTAATACAAATACAAGGTTTTAACAAAAGTTACTAGGTTCGGTCGAAACCGCAACCAACACCGAATGGGTTGTACTTTTCTTCAATAAGCGCTTGATATTTCTTGGCTGGAGCTTGGTCTTCACGTAATGTTGCTGGTTTTTGTTCTTTTAGTTATCAAAAAGAATGAGAAGGAAGATGAATAGTACAACGGTTGTTATGTGTTTCTCTTATGAAAATGGACGATAATTTTTGAACTTTTCACTCAACTTTTCTTTAGGAAAAAAAGGAACCATCGTTAGGGGGATGCTTTCTACTGCCAGAGACGATTTCCTCCACAAGAAATGCACCTGCTAATACTTGTCGTAACACCTTGTTTACAAAACTTTTTTAAACATCCTAAACTTTTGCTCATTTTCGTTCATCATATATAATGCACTAACAACAAGGAGGTTTACCAATAATTTGTGACAACTTTCCTACCAGACTAGATTGTAGTGTCAATCTCATGTGCGAAGTTCGAGAGGTATTTGAGGCAACTTGAAACCTAAAATAAGAAATATTGAGAGAAGGCCAAATAAATATGCAACCCCTTAAACTTGCCCAGTTTTTTCATTTAAACACAAACTACCCTTTGTTCCCATTGAACACTTAGACTCAAGCTCTAATGTTCCCATTAAACACACATTGCTAACATGGCAATGCGCGCGAACCTCACCTCCAAAAAGAGTGTGAATGGCTAAAGTTTTTATTTTTAACTTTTTTTCTCTTTTCCTACATCTTCTCTCTTCCCTTGACAGTCATTTCCACCACCATAACCACCAGGTTTTTTTATAGGAATGTCATCTATGATAGGGCTTGAAAAAGAATCAATTCATAAAATCTCCACCGAGTGCGCTGAAAATAAAGATTAAGAATGAGGGCAAACTACTAAGGTTAATTACAAGCTATTAACTTTTTTTTTAATTAAAGCCATCACCTCCCGTGGTGGTGGGAGATTTGGCTTGGACCCTATTGTTAGCCCCTTGACAAAGTTCCTCAGCAGATATGGGTCGTAACAAAGATTTTCATGATGACCTTAGCACACAACCCGAAATTTGGGGCAACATCATGAGGGGCAACTCGGCATGATGGACTATGCGGGATTGACAAACGCACCTTGACGGAGGCAAGGCGCATTTCACATGGACGTGCGGGTTGGCATGACAATGGCAAGGCAAAGCCATGTCAAGGCAGGGGCCAAGACATGGAAAGGCAAGGCAAGACAAGAAATGACATTGATGTGGGCAGATCTGATCAAGTTGGGGGCCACTTGACATGGGCGAGTAGTTGTGGCAACGAGCGTGTGCGGCTAAGTCATGGTCGACAAGTTGTGGCTATGACATTGGGGCGGAGCAGTGTCAAAGGGCAAGGCTGGGCGCAATGCCAGCCTTGGGGGCACAATAGCTGGTCAAAACAGGCGCATGCAGTGCATAAGCAGCGGTTACAAAGTGTGCTGGGCACATGACAGTGCAGTTGAACGGTTACACATCAAGCATGACTGATCAAGGGGCTAAGCGGATGCATATTTTTAATCATGTCTATCATGATTGTCCGTCACTTGGGGCTTGTCAACTGATTGTCTTAGATGCTTCCAAATGTAATTGGGTTGCCTACACTATAAAAAATGTGCATAGGGTTGTCCCAAAAGGCAGAACTTAGACTCGTGGGAAATTTGTTACGACAAAACGTCTAAGTGTATTCCTAAAGGTAGGAAATCATTTCAGGTCTGAGAACTAGGTGTTCTTTGTTATTGACCATAGGGTTGGCTTTATTGTGTTCTTGTATTCACATATTAATACGAGTTGGGAAGAGATTTCTGTAAATTTCGTGTGTGCCTTTACTTTACTTGCTGCCTGAATTTTATTCTAAGTCCCAAATGTCCTAAAATAATTCTAAGTGTTGGAAAAGCTGAAGTTAAGGCAGGGCTTGAGTACTGCACAGAAGTGAACTCGGGCAGAATTTGAGTGACAAAAATAACTCCTGTGACAATTGGTATCAGAGCGTGGCTAGATCGGGGCAATGACACGACGTTCAATGGCTGAATTTCGTGAACTATGGCTGGTGGCAACGCCAACGCAGAATTGAAGAAAAAGGTTGTTGCATTGGAGGTACTCATCGAAACTATTGATGGTGATCAATTTCTAACTATTGTGACTCGTCTTGCCTATATTGAGGTAGAGATGAATAGGCCGATCCAAGAGTGTACGGATATGAAATCGTAAAATAGGTTGTTGCATCGTGTTGTTGGCAATGATGATGTACATTGTGGGGCAGATCGTACCAAAGTCAAAATTCATGAGCCTAAAGAGTTTAATGGTGCAAGGAGTGCCAAGAAACTCAAAAAGTTCTTGTGGGATATAGAACAGTACTTTCAGGATGCCCATGTGCAAGATGAAGACAAGGTCGCCATTATGACTATGTACTTGGTGGACGATGCAAAGCTTTGGTGGCAGATGCGCGTGGCAGACGATGTAAGTACTGGTAGGCCTAAGATTGACTCTTGGGAAGGACTGAAAAAGAGTTGAAGGATCAATTCTTTCCTAGCAATGCAGGCTGGATTGCTAGATTTGAAAAAGTTGAAATAAACTGGACAGGGATTATATCAAAGATTTCAGTTTTTTGATGCTTGATACAAGCAACATGTCTGAGGAAGACAAGCTGCACAATTTCTTGTAGGGAGTGCAGTAGTGGGCGCAGATGGAACTCCGAAGGCAGAATGTGAAAGACCTTCCTAGTGCCATCGCTGCTGCGGATCCGTTGAGTGATTAACGGAAGGCACAAGATAGTTCTGGTTTCTCTACTACTTAAAAGTCCAAAAACAGGAACAAGAACAAGGTAAAAGAGTGAAGGAAAAATGAAAATAACAAGGGAAATGTTGTTGAGGACAATGTCAATGGCAATGGCAATGGGAAGGAAAAGTAATGCGCTGGACCTTCGACAAACAAGGGACAAAATAGCAAGTTTGATGGGTGTTTTATTTGTAAAGGACCACACATGGTGGGGGACTATCCAAAACTTGAATGGCTTACAACTTCATTTGTTGATGAAAAAGGTGAAGATGAGTTGAACGAGGAAGAACATGAGCAGGAGATGGCATATTAAAGACCTATGGTGGTGCTGAAAAATGCAAAAACTGCTTCGTCGAGGATGATGAATTCTTCAGGTGTGGGTGGTTTGTTAGCCCCTTGACAAAGTTTATTGGCAGATGTGAGTCGTGACAAGGATT